CAACTAGGTTATGAAGGAACTCACCTTCGTATCACCAACCAGGCGATGAAGACTACAACTAGTACTATTAATAAACATTTTTGCCTCAGCAACTCACCATTCTTCCCACCAACTAGGTGAGGAGTGGTACAACTTGTACATGTGAACTCTTAGCATTCAAAAATAATCAAAAACCCTCAAACCTTACAACTCAAAAAGGGGATAAGCAAGCTTATCTTAACCTAATTGGGGGAGCACTTATGCCTAACAAGGGTTATAGTCACCAACAAAGTCTTGTTATAAGCCAAAAAAGGCTTCAGTGCATGGTATACAAAATCAAGCTCTTTAGCCCTCTTGCATCTGCTTCAGACATTTCCCCTCTATAACCATGCAAACAATACAACTCGTAGAAAGCTTCGCACACTCTTGATCAAGACTGTGCAAAGCAAAATCAATTTATACGGTTCCTCCGAACCTTTAACTACTACAATGTGGTTTGCCTCTCACACTCTAACTCAAGAGTGTGAAACCAAAATTTATATACGTGGTCTCTCCCACATTTTCTTGTCCCTAGTTCAAAAAATAAAATAAAATAAAATAATATTTCTACCAAAAAAAACGAAATTAATTGATTAATAATTATTTCGATAATAATTAATTATTTAATTAATTGTTAATTATTAATTAAGCAATTAATTAATTATTAATTATGACATGGAGGAGAAGGTCAATAAAGATTCAACACATAGGAGTCAACTACAAATGTCAAAAACTTCACACACTCTTGATCAAGATAGTGTAAAGCAAAATCAATTTATGGTGCTCTAGGAATAGCTTCAACTATTTAAGCTATGTGCTTAAGCAAATAAGCTTCTCCTATAAAGTTTCAACCAAAATGTTTCACCTACATGGCCTCAACCAAAAAGCTTCACCTACAAATCTTCAATAAAAAAAACTTCACCTACAAAATTTTAACAAAAAAACTTTACCTACAAAGCTTCACCTACAAAGTTTCAACTAAAAAGCTTCACATCCAAAATTTCAACATAAAAGCTTTACCTACAAAGCTTCAGCATAAAACTTCACCTACAAATCTTTAACAAAAAAACTTCAACACTACAAGATGTAGAAAGCTTCACACACTCTTGATCAAGGCAATGTGAAGCAAAATCAATTTATGATGTCCTATGAATAGCTTAAACTATTCAAACTATGCGCCCAAACAAAAACCTACAACCAAAAATCTACAATCAATAAACATTCACCCATTAAATCACAACCATAAACTTTTACCTATTAAATTATTTTTCAAACATAAACTTTTGCTACAACTATTCAAAAATTTCACAAAGCCCAACATTTTAGCAATCTCTGCAACCTTCAACCCAAAATCAAAGCAAGCTTTGAACTTGCTGCGTCTTGGAAATTAAAGCAGCCATTACCTTCAACCTCAAACTCTCAACCCCTCCATCAAAACCCAGAACTTCAAATTCCTTCGACGCCTTCCTGACACCCAAATGCCTGAAGATCGGCAGCGATGTCAGCTCTTTCCACCACCAAAGTTCTTACCTGCAGCCACCCCTGCACAAACCCGTCTCTGTAAGCCAACTATAACCACACACCGATGACCTACACAACCCCAACTAAGTTGCGGCCTCAGAGAAAAATTTGCACTCCCTTCGAAAAGACTGCAAACCCGCGCCTTCAACATGTTCGCACCGGTCCCTAACCGAGAAGCTTCCTTCACTCGAGAACTTAGGGGAGCAATGTTTGTACCATACTTGACCAATTCTGAAACTACCAAGCACCGGTCAACTTCATACCTTCAAGGATCCGCTGAGAGGTTCATGTTGAGGCACCCCTGTCGAAGCATAAGTGCTTCCCTCCAACAGGAGGCCAATCACAACACGACACTTGCCAACGTCATAATAAAGCCCCTAGAGTCCCACATCGACCGCGAATGAAAGCCGGAGACTCTCCTCAACTATAAAAGAAGATCATTCTCCTACAATTGAGGAGGAATGTCATTATTGTACTTAAACTAGTCATTAGAACCCACTAATGACAATTATGCTTGAACCTATGTATTTGTGTAAACATTTCACTATTAATGAACTCATCTACTCCGTGGACGTGGCCAAACTTAGGGTGAACCACATACATCTTGTGTTTGATTCCCTATCTCTATTTCTTTACATATTATCCTTACTAGATAGCCGGAGCAACCGAGCGAAGGTCACAAAACTTGACACTTTACGTTGTTCAAAAGTCTCACTGATTTTGTGCATCAACAACACTTAATTACTTTCTCTCATACTAAAACTCGAGATTCTTGACACTTAATTCTTACATGGGTTTCATACCATTTAAGATAATCAAATTTAAATTTTACACAAGAGTGCAAGCTTCAATCGAAGCGGTTGCTTTCACATTGGACAGTGTAAAGTTTTGAGTCAATAATCATAGTAGAAAGTAGTCTCTCCAGCGGTTGTAAGCAATACTATCAAATCCAATATAAGGAGCTTAAATTGGCTAGGATTAGATCCTAAAAAATGTTAGGCGCTAGTCAAACAGCGGACTAGGACCTAGCAGCTAGGTGCCTAGGAGAGATCTTGGCAGGAGCCGAGATGGATTTAAATTATCTTAAAATAAGCATTAAACAATATTTACATTGTTTTTAAAAAGTAATACAATATTTATAAATAATGTGAGAGTTCAAGATAAATACGATGGGAATCTTAAAAGAGAAAATAAAAATACATACAAGAATATAAAATATAAAAAAGGAGAGAAATAATAAACCACAAAAAAAGGTGGGGTCAGAAGAGAAAAAAAAAGGGGAAATGGGTAAACAAAAAAGTGGGGCAAAAAGATAATCGGAAGAGAAGTGATTGGTCAGCACAGTATTTTAAGAGAAAAAAGAAATAAACAAATGGTCAACAGGATAATACTTGGGTATGGTGTCAGTACCTAATTTTTACTAACTTATTAGGTGGCCCAATAATTGTCCAACACCTGTCTTTAAAACTCACATCCAAATGGGCAATACTAGTGTACTGAAGTCAGTACCTAATTTCACTAACTATCTATGTGGCCCAATAAGTTTGAACCATCTATCAATCCAAGGACCTTGTCATCTCTGTAACCAAACACAAATCCATGATTTAAACCCGTGACCAAACAATAGTCTTCCTCCTCTCCAACAAGTCTGCCAAGATCTTCACAACCGGCCACCGTGAACTCCTCGACTCCACCATTTCAAGACTTCACCAATCTTGTCCTCCACAGCCACACCGAGCTCGATCATCGGCCAACTATAATCCTGGTCGTCGCAAGTTGGCGGCATCCATGTCATACCAGTATAGCTGCGTTGTCGTCGATCTCATTGCAGCGATGGAATCAACGGTTGGAAGAGGGATTGGGGCGGGGGGGAGAAGATGGGCTGAAGAAGAAACCATAGCCATGGCATGGAGATTATTAAACATTGGAGAAGAAGAGTTCTATTTGGTATTGGGTTTAAAGGGGTTGGTTTGCGTTTGGCCATGAATTCCAACGGAGAGGGGAGGGGCTGAACCAGCACTCCTAGGCGTATTTTCCCGCGAAGGGAGGGACGGCCGCCACTCCTCGCCCTCACGTAGCTTCGCCAGTGCCTACAGCGTCTTCATTCAATTTATAGAGGGCGTAGAGGATTCGAGAAGGACAATTGGGTGGTAGATGGTGGCAGATGGTGGCAGATGTTGATCTTATCTAGTCCACATCTTGCTCCTCTATGTCTGATGGGTGTGCCTCTCTCTGTTCTTTTCATTTTCTTTTTAGGGTTTTTAGTTATTTTAAGTTAATAGCTCCTATACCTGGAAATACAAAATTCAAGCAAACAACAATGAGTTTTGGAAGAACAAAATTTTTTATATTTTCAATTATTATCTTAAATTCAAATGAAAGTTAAACGCAAATGGTAAATTGCTCTGATAATTAGGGTTTTTTATGCAACCCACTGCTTAAAATATAAATATCAAAATAAAAATTGGACACTCTAGTGTACATAATAAGAAAATAACAGTCACTACTTATGCCAAACCTTACCTCATTTGTTCTTCTAGGGGTTATTAAAACTTGGAGAGTTTGAATCACAAAAGAGCTCATGTAGATGCGTGATAGCCTAGGGATGCCATAGATGCATAGTACCCCAGGTATGTCATATTTAGTATGGATAGGGAGAGCCGGTCATGAGGGGGTGCCAAGAGTGCGACCGCACAGAGCCCCCGATTTTTAGGGGCCCTCGAATTTTAATAACCTTTATAATGTACTACATATAAAAAGAGTGTGAGCATAATTCACAATAGAACCATTTTGGGCCTTTTTTGAGATACATTAATTTTTTCTTTTCTCTTTAATATTTGTAGTTTAATTTCTATCATTATAAAAGATAACTTTTGATGATAAATCTATAATTAGGAATATCATAATTAATTAAAATCCTTAAAAGTTTGAAGATATAATCTTTAAAACCCCCTTTTCTATATATGACATCATTTAATCGAATACATGTCATTCATTTATTCTTTTGGTCAGCTTTTATGGATCATCTAATTTTCATTCTATTTGAAGACCATTTAGTCATCTATATACATATATATATATATATATATATATATATATAATACAACTTTGCTCGCAACACTAAAGTGGAAGTGAGAAGGTGATGCTCATCCCCTATTGATTACCGTTAAATTAATTTAAGACACGAATCTCGAATTCTAACTAATCAAACGACAATCAACCGAGTGGGGGTTAGAATCATCCTCACTTTAGGGGGTGAGAAAAAATGCAATAAAAAAACTAACAGTTCATTATAAGATGTTACAAATATTATAACCAGTGATTGTGTAACTAGTTCATAATAAAGAGCATGAATTGTTCTAATTATGATATATATACGGTGATATGATATTTTCATAGCCACCACACCATGCTTTTTGTATTTAAAAAGTAAGGAGTTTTTAATCCAAAAACATAAAGAATGCAAATACATAGCCACCAAACCATGCTTCTTTTTTATTTATTTTCTTTTGCCTTTATATCAATTTATACACAAGAAAAACAATATAAAATATAAAAGAAAATATAACAACCAAACTTTAGACCTTGTAAGGGCCTCCGTTTGAGTCTCGCACAGGCCTCCAAAATCTCAGGACCGGCTCTGAGGGAGATATGCCACATGAATCGACAAAACATATTTAACTAAAGAAATTTTCTGCCATGAAGGGGAAAGCTGAAGTTCAAATATGGATACAAAAGAAATTGCAGGTCCCGGATGAGGAGTTCTCAAAGTGGAAATTTGCATTCTTGCCACTTGGTCGTCCAGAGTACCTGCAGGATTCTGATATTGTTTCCAGACGATTTCAGAGAAGAATCTTTTGCTGCATGGGAGAAGTACCTTGCGTTGGAGCACCAAGAACAGGCCAGGAATGCAGGCAAGGTAGATGAGAGTCCGCCTGTAGATATCACATTTCTAAATCTCTCTGGGCCAGGCAGAGCTAATTCCACAAGTAGACACTGCCCATGTAACCTTAGAGACGGTAAGCAGAGAAATTGAAACGCAAAATATGATAACCTGGATGGCCCGGCTTCTCTAGCACTTGATCAAACTTTGAGAAGACTTTCTGCTGCTGAGTTTCAGTGGGAAGCAAGATAATTGCGCTGGAAAAAAAAATTTCAGCCAAATATATATGTTAGATAAATTGACATGAATAAATTCCCTTAATTATTTGGATTAATAAACATAGAAATTTAGAATTTCTGTGGGGAAAAAAAAATTTAGAATCTGGGACCTCCAATTTCCAAGTTTAAATTCCATGTAAATTTGGAATCTAAGAGTTTAAAAATAACAAATTTCGTATTCAATTCCATTATTCTTTTAGGTTAATCAAACATGAAAATTCACAAATTCTAGAAAATAAAATTCCGTCATTTCAATTTTCGTCATTTTAAAATTCCTTAGTAATCTTAATTTCTTCATCCATGTATAGTGTGATATTTTTCTTTATTGCAATAATGTCATGCAAGCACAGTTTTCCTATCCAACAAAAAAGACACCGTTTTTCTATTTTGAGTAACGATGGCTTTAATAGGTTTGAGAAAAATGATACCTTTAGTAGGTTATTTTGTACTCCTTAACTTTGAAATACTTCACATATTGTATGAATAACAATGGAAGCAAATTTAGAAAATTAGAAGCAGGATTAGCTAAAGAAAACAACGGGTTTTGAGAAGCTTGTTATTAAAAAAAAGTTAAACTAAAAATAAAATAAAAAAAAGACTTCTAGAAGCATAATAAAATAAAATAAAAATTATATTCTTTAGTTTTTTTGTCAAACAGGCCAAAAATAACCCAAACAAACAACTGAACATAATGGTCGATACCCTTAAAACATCATTGTAGACATCGAAATTTCAGTCCTTTACAATTGTCAGCTAAATTAGATCCAATAGAGACAAAAGGATCATCAAAATAGCAGATGCCTAAGCTTAACTTATAACTAGAGTTAGCAAGACAATCCGCCACACATTCTTTGTTTTATGTTTCCTCTATGGCATGTTAATTTAAAAAAAAAGGCTTTTGTAAGCAAACAAATTAAATAATAATTCTAAAATCTAAATTAGCCAATTGTCATTGGATAGTAATTAGAATAAATATTACACATATTTTTTTTATTTTTTTATTGGTTGAAAATGGGGCTAAGAACCCAAGAAAAAGTGAGCAATAACTTTAGGTCTAGACATCCCAAGCCAAGCCCATGCTTGCGTGTAAAACTATTCGAACAAAGAGGAGGATTGTTAAAATAATATCTTTCTAGGTCTAAAGCACAACTATTATTTGTCAAACTAGTATCAGGCACAAAATTTCTCTCTATCAAGCAAAAATAAAAGACCCAAATACCAAAACGATAGAGGGACACTAAACTAACGGAAAATGAACAAATCCTAAATCTAAAGGGTTGTTTAGCCAAGGACATTACCTCTGATAAATCATAGATTCGACTGTTGAATGTTGTCATATAATCTTTTCAACTTCAAGATCTTCGTCTTCATCTTCACCTTGGAATTCTGCAACCATGGATGATCCCTTAAACATCTTTACCAAACGCTGCACTCAAAAAAGCTAGAGCTCATGTTTGTCTACATAGCGTCTTTACCAAATTTATAGGAACAACAGAGGATTTGAGAAGGTCGCTAACTACGGTTAAGTGGTAGGTGTGTTGATCTTATCTAGTGCAGACAAGGTCGTGGTTGAGATTTCAAGAGCCTTGTTTAGAAATTATAACGTGGCAATTTTTTATACAATTTACAATAAATAACCTTTTCTTAAAATAATCTCACAAAAGCATACTAAACACGAAAAAAATTATCATATATTACTATCATACTTATAAAACCTACAAATTAAAAACCAACCCATTTCTTTTCTCTATGAAGTTGGCAAATGGGTTGTCTTTGTCCTTTTTTTGTCAACCCATTATCTCATATCATGTTAATTAACCCGTTAAGCTAAAGGATTATAAGTTTCAAACTCGAACTTGACCCGCTAAAATATTTTGTTCATTGATGAGTTATGGTCATTAGAGCATCGATCTACCATAGTTTTGTTGTACTAGTTAGTGAATAGTGTAAAAAATTAAAATAGGTAGCCAATTTAACTTATCATCTCCAACAACAATATTAATTTAACAACTCAAGCTTTTTAATATTTAATAATTAATCATTTCAAAAAGAAAAAAAAGTACAATTTCTCTTTGTTTTTTCCATCATCACTTTCTCTCTCACCTCTTTTATTCCTTTTTTTTCGTCAGACTCTTTCCGCCATTTATCGCTACACCAATTTCAAATCTCACTAACCACTCGAGGCCTTAGCCTTCCAAGACCTCATTGGCTCCGTCATCATCGTTGTGACTCCGTCACGATTTCGTCGTCCCAATCTAGGAAAGGACTATTCAATAAGTGAAGACAGCTTGTCCTTTCTAGCTTGTTAGGGCTTGATTTTTCTGTAATTGTTGTTAAACTAGCCAAACAAACCCGTCTAGTGATGCACCTGAAGATGCACTTATATTTTCTGAAATCGGGTACTAGGCGGAATCTCCTGCAAATAAAAATTTAACTTTGCACATTAAACTAGTCAAATGAGCTAGTCAACTAGTTACAAGTCAGTCAGTGATAAAAAGTGCAGTTGTAGGAGCAAAACCTAACTGGCCAATAGGTTCAACTAATCAGACTCTGCCCATATTAGTTTCATGACAATAATCCATATGCTTGAGTATCAATTCACTATGCAAACATCAATCACAAAGCAATTATGAATTAAAGCATGCTGAATTGACTAGTCAAGCTCACCAGTCAACTAAGTACAGATTCGCATCAGTCAAACAAACACAAATCTACAAATCAAACTTAGTTCACTACAAGTTATCCTAGTCAACAACAATTCAATTCATTGCTCATAATATGCAGTGTAAACTTTGAAATCAACTGAACTGACTAGTCAAACGTACTAGTCAACTGAGTACAGATTGCTAGGTGCCAACAAGCATATAAACCAAGCAAACTTATAAAGCTAAAACAAGACAGTGTGACCTTCAATCATGTTTTAGCCTTGATTCTTGAGTTATGTTTACTTGGTTAACAATGTTTCAATACTAGCAAACTCTACAACGTTTATCTCTAGCAATGGTTATTTGGTCATAAAGAAAGCTATGTATAGTTGAACACAATGAAGTTTTTTGGCCGGATAAACCCATCTATGGGTTAAAAAACCGAGGACTCTCCACTGAGTCCAATCCATTATTTTAATCAAGGTTCATACAAAGACCACATAAGCTCAATTCCTAGATCCCTATCTATGAAGCAGCTTTACCTTTGTGCAATCTTGCCTTACACAAGATGGATTCCTTCGGTCTTCACGAAGTTGCAGCTCCTCCCGAGCTCTTCACTTTGTGGCACCGATATAGTGTTGTCTCCAGTATACACATGGTGGCAACTCTTCCTGAACTCTTCACCTTGTGGCACCGAGACCAACACACAAACTATGCATATGATGATATGCAAATCTAGATTCAATGTCTAGTCAGTTTCACTAGTCAAATACTTGAAAGATGAAACTGATGAGAATCCAAAACAAGTCAGTTCACAGATTTGAAACTTGGAAAAACTTGACCTAAAACAGAAATCAAAATCACAAAAACAATGCTACCCTAATATGCAATGATGTGGGTATTTAGTGCATGAGTGTAGGTCAAAGCTAAAATCAACTCTTTTCTAAAATGTATAACTCCTAGCCAAAACAAATGAGCATATAAAACAAATTTAAGCAAGCAAATTCAAAGATAGGTTTAGAAATATTTGATGAAGAACATTACCCATAAAATCTGCTTAATGCTCCTAGGAGATCTGAGATGGAGAAGAAAATAAAAAACTCAAAAAAATTTCCAATCTCAAACCCCATCAACAAATGAACCCTAGAATGTCATGCGTAAAATCAATCTAGAAAGATCTAGGGCTGAAAATTCATTTTCAGGAAACAGTGTCAGATGGCTCATGTGGGCTGTCTTTATTTACATGCCTTGACAACTAGATAACAGACAAAATTCCTGACTAGACAACTGCACTAAACAAAAGGAATCTGGAAAAATAAGCTTGATATGCAAATGCAAATGTATAATTCAAACCTTTTGTAGTGTATAAGAATGGTGCTTTGACAAGTTCAATCCCAATAGAAATCTCAGATCAGCATTGTGTCCTAACTCTAAATTATTAGCTTGTGTGGTAACATTTACCATTTTTGATAAGGGAAGCCAAACATTAAACCTAGTACTTAACAATCTCTCCATTTGGCTTTCCTTGACAAATTAACGCAAAACCTATAACTAAAATCACACTTCACCCAACTCAAGAAATCAGCAGTGACAAGAGAAAAGAGCAAGTAACAACTTCTACAGTAACACATATTTCTCGGCAAGGGACAAGTGAGATTCATCATGGGTTATGACAACATAAACTCATCTTAAAAATGACACCACAAATTGCATGATCAACATGGGTTATTCCAGTACCACAGTTAAAACACATGTAAATTTTTTTCTCCCCCATTTTATCATAGCAAAGACAAAGGATTTGAAATGAATAGAATTCCAATTTCATTAAACAAAAGAAAGTGATGTCAATTGAGCTCATGATAGTAATGTCTAACCACAAACAAATGATATAAGAACCAACAACAAAGACATAACAGCAGAGAAGTTTAAGCACAAGGTACAATTCTCAATACCGAAATATTAAAGGGAACTTTAACGAAAAGCACCCGGTACTGTTCACTTTAACGAAAAACCACATTTTTATACTAAAAAGTCAATCCTGGTACTATTCACTTTACCCTTTATTTTGTCCTTATCATTAAAACTCAAAGTTTTCAAGCCCTTTTCATTAATTTTCCTAATATTAAAAGCATAACAGTATGTTAATGTAATATGTTCAAGACACCTATTTGTTCAGGAAAACCAATAATGGCTAAGTCGAGAGAAGCACTATAAGATACAACAAAAAAAGAGTTTCAATTACAAAGAAAACATCATTGTTTGAATAATCAAGAACATAAATTGAACTTCCCCAAAAGCTAGAACTCCTCAGAATATAACTCGTCGTCAGATATATATATAGTCACCCAACTCAAACTGACCCAAGACAAGCACAAACAAGGTTCAACAGAAGAAAGGTTTAAATATAACAAAGTCAAAATAGGTCAAGTTTGCCTATAAAAATAAATTTGAACACCTCCATAGTTAACACTCTTCTAGACACAAACTCCCTTATAAACCTAGAAGTCTATAGACTAAGTGGCTGCACCATATCGGAAGTATAAAAAATTGCAGCAAATACATAATGCAAGGATAGCAAAAACACAGGGGATAAAGAATTAGCAATATATCATATAAGCATGTCCAATCAAGGTGAAGCAAGGATTAAGCAACAAGTGAGTGCATGTAAATGAACCAACTCCCCCACAAAGGATAAGGGCTTAATTTCCAAGAGCACAAATGATAAACAAGATAATAAGATAATGCCAATGGTATTGAATGAAAATGGTGCAACAAGAGAATAAGAGCAAACCACAACAACAACAACAACAAAGCCTTTTCCCACTAAGTGGGGTCGGCTATATGAATCCTAGAACGCCATTGCGCTCGGTTTTGTGTCATGTCCTCCGTTAGATCCAAGTACTCTAAGCCTTTTCTTATAGTCTCTTCCAAAGTTTTCCTAGGTCTTCCTCTACCCCTTCGGCCCTGAACCTCTGTCCCGTAGTCACATCTTCGAACCGGAGCGTCAGTCGGCCTTCTTTGCACATGTCCAAATCACCGGAACCGATTTTCTCTCATTTTTCCTTCAATTTCGGCTACTCCTACTTTACCTCGGATATCCTCATTCTCAATCATATCCTTTCTCGTGTGCCCACACATCCCACGAAGCATCCTCATCTCTGCTACACCCATTTTGTGTACGTGTTGATGTTTTCACCGCCCAACATTCTGTGCCATACAACATCGCTGGCCTTATTGCCGTCTTATAAAATTTTCCCTTGAGCTTCAGTGGCCTACGACGGTCACACAACATGCCGGATGCACTCTTACACTTCATCCATCCAGCTCGTATTCTATGGTTGAGATCTCCATCTAATTCTCCGTTCTCTTGCAAGATAGATCCTAGGTAGCGAAAACGGTCGCTTTTTGTGATCTTCGCTAGATTGCTCCGGTCATTAGTGTGGATAAGTATATAAATGGATAGAGATAGGAAAGCAAACACAAGATGTACGTGGTTCACCCAGATTGGCTACGTCCACGGAATAGAAGAGTTCTCATTAATTGTGAAGGGTTTACACAAGTACATAGGTTCAAGCTCTCCTTTAGTGAGTACAAGTGAATGATTTAGTACAAATGACATTAGAGTACAAATGACATTAGGAAATATTGTGGGAGAATGATCTCGTAATCACGAAACTTCTAAGTATCGGAGTGTGGTGTCGTCTTGACTTGCCTTATCTGTCTCATAGGTAGATGTGGCATCTTCTCTGGAAGTACTCTTCCTCCATCCAGGGGTGGTATCTTTAACTGGTGGAGATGCACAAGGTAATGTATCAATTTCACTTGAAGCTTACTTGTAGTTTCAGGCTTGGTCAAGCGCGATACAAACCATGTAGTAGGAGT